AGTCCGTATTAGCGTTTTGCGAGAGAGAGTTCCGTGGCCGGGACGACGGTGACATATTGTACGTACACGTCGGCCACGAGCACAGCGGCGTTCACCTGATCACAGCCGATCGTACTATTATTGACTGTTGTTGTAGGTTCGCGCGTACAACAATATGTAAAGCGTATCCTGTCTCGCATTGTTACCGATTAGTGATGCTCGCACGATTTATCTCGATCAATACGGCGGCGAATACCTAGATATTATTGTGTTCATCGATCCGACGGCCATCGTGTAAACGTATAGCTACGCGTGTAATATCGCAGCTACAAAACAGCGAAGTAACATTAGATGGGATCGTCGTAGTACGCACTTATAGCCATGTCGGGCATGGGAAAAAAAAATCGTACCCATATTAACTATAATATTATACTTGCTCTCGGCTACGTACCGCGTCGTTATAGTGTTTCGTTCGCCGCTGAAGGTGTTTGTAAATAATAAAAATAATAATAACAGCAGTGTGAATTCGGTTAGGAGCAACGCGGCGCGGTGCGTTCGTTGTCCGTTCTGCGAATCTGTGAAAAAAAGAAAAGAAAATCATAAAACGGGACCCGTTTAGATAATATAGACGGGGAAAAAAATCAAGTGTCTTCACAGGAATATTCACTTTTCCAAGTCAATTTTCCGAATGTTACATCGCGTCAAAACGTGCACAATGTCTGACCCGAGTATTTTTTTTTCGTATCGTGGACACCCAATTCCAAAGATTGACAAAATATTTTTCAGAACACACTCGTCGGTCGCGCATACGAACGTTTCGAACGATTCGTGTGTTTAAATATTGAGACAGATAATTTAGTGGGAAAAATCCGGTGTATTATCCGTAGAGTGGGAACGTAGTCTGTGGAGTTTCTTATGGATAAAATAACATACAGTTGGTAAACCATGTTGTTCTTGTGACGAAATGCGATTATTGGTTAATACCTCGAATTGTATACAATAAAATATTTAAACATGTTTTCGTATATAGTATTATAATATTATGTAAGTATCATATACCAGTATTTCATATCATATCGAAGTGAATTATTTTTGATAACTATTTTAGAATGTGATAACTATAATTTAATATCGTACAATAAATCGATAGAATATAACTTTTTTTTTATTTAATATATTCAATTCCAATTTGTATCAGTTTGATATTAAATACTCTGTGGTAATGGTGGTTTTAACGATCTTAACTCTTCTACCTCAAAGGTAAAGAAATCAAACTCAAATTATTCGATCCTATTTTACACATAACGTAATAATTCGATTCTGAAACATTTTTAAATAAAATATTCAAAAAATTCAAGATTATCTAATTTATGTATTATATTTTTTTCTTTTAACACTAGTACATCATAGGCATACCATTGAAGCAATAATTATAACACGTTTTTAAGAATTAAACACTTCCGGAAAATACGAAATAAAGCGTGTTCGCGTATAATTTACGTTTTCTGAAAGTGTTCCATCTATTAACCTTGTCTACGATGATGGGTTCATCAGCCTCGGTAGATATCCAACAAAGTGTAGTATACGCACTTACATAGTTGTTGTACATTTTTAAAATTGCAAAACAATAGTTTCGAATATTTTATTTGATTTTAGGAGACCAAAAATATTTGTCGTGAACGGAAAAATTATTTAAAAATTTTAAAAAAACTTCCGGGACGTTTAAATTCATTAGCGCTTAACGAAAACTTTGAAACATTTCCTACAAAACCTAGAACCGGGAGCAGATAACCATTAAAATTTACATTCTGCTGAACGGGATATGACGTTTTAACTATTATTACACTCTCTTCCTCCTAACCAGTCATAAATTAATAACTCAAACACGATGCACGGTGCACAAAATAGGTAATGTCATTCACAAACATTTGCGTATACGGTACATATCTCGTGCATTTTACAGAGTAATATTTTTACAAGTCAATTGAAATACTTTATGGCGAACATATATACTTTTTACTCTACTCACCGTGATAACTGTTTAAAATTTATTTCTTTCATTGATTATGGCTTCAAATATTTTTTAATTTCGTGTTCTGGAACGGAATATTTTTCTAAAAATATCTACACGTTTCAAAATCGAATGGTAAGAGCTGTCCAAAGAACCACACCAGACAAAGAAATACGTTTGAGACGTATATTTCCAGTAATTGATTGCACTTGTGAGTATATCAAAACGGTTTAAACAAACTGAGTAACAGTGTGTAATACTACGGGTAGTACTCCAATGATTTAGATAAATTCGAGTAAAATATATCGAATATAACATCGACTGAATCACTTGAAAATTAATAAAAATAACTGTACTGCAGTGTAATAATAGATTTTGATGGTATTGAATTTCCTCTGTAAACGAAATAGCAGCAGCAGCAACACGTGCACACAACTTTACTGCGCCTGTGCACGATTTTCTTAGTATCTGTTCGACGGATATTAATTCGATTTTTACTGTAATGGATACGAGTGTTTCATTTGTGAGTACTTCGTTAAGAATAAATTTTTTAGTCAATAAAAACTAAAAAGACTAACCGTTGCGAATATGTATAAAATATACGGTGGAGTGCTATCACGACGTGTTTTGTTTTGATTAGATTTACCTTAAAGAAAAAATAAATAAATAAATAATTTTTCTGCATTTTTTTTTATGGCAAACAATAAAATTGTATATTATTATTAAAACGCGCGTTGCTTCGGGATTCGCGGAAGGTTTTATCGACAAGTAATAAAATGCACTCGGAAAAACGATTAGATACGATGCATCAAAAGTATAGCGGACGATTGGATTTGTCTGTCGTGCGTAGAGTTGCAAAAATTTCACCCGAAACGGTTGAAAATCAATCGAGAGGTTAGGTACCCGAGTAACGATGAAAACGATCACTTCGTATAACTTATTGCAGCCGGTGTGTGAATGTGTTACGTGTACGCATAACGTGTTGTGGTGTTCGGCACTGGCATTATTCCGCTTAAATTTCCATAACACTGCCGGGGCTTGTGCTCGCCACACACCATTTCGACTGCAGCGTTTATTCGTTCGCACCGCGTGTGCGTTTTCAAATTTAATAATTATCATCTCCCCCCCCTCCCGCCGTCGGGTACCGTTCGTTTTGCCGGCGGTGACGCGCGCGAATCGCGCTCGCAGGAAAACACGCGAAAACCCGCGGCATAATTAGTCTCGTTTTAGACCTTCGTCGCAACGCTAAAGTGACTCGTTTGCCGTATTTCGCGAGCGCATCATCGGCGTGTGCCGTCGGGTCGCGTTTCTCCGGAGAGCCGCAGAAGAGCTGGTTGCACGCGAAGATGTCCATCGGCCACTATGATCTTCCTCCGGCCGTGTAGAAGCGTACCGTTCAGCATATTCCGGCACAGCCATAACGTACGCGCGCGTATCAGTCTTAACGGTTTTAAACGCCACCGGAGAACCGGTCCCGTAGCACAACACAACCGACGTATACATAATGATCATTGTAACGTGAATAATTCTATTGCAACGATGATATGTCCGGCGTGTTTTTGTCACCTGAGCGCCGGTCCGTCAACGTTAACGCATTCTCATCGTTTTCCCGACGTCGAATTGATAGCTCGACGTTTAAAACGTTGGTCTAGGCTCGGAACAATAATATTATTACTAATAATATTACTAAATAAAATATGATTATATAATAATAATAATATTATAATAATATTACTATTATCATACTCGACGGTAAGACTCCATTCGCAGAACTATCTTTGCGCCGCGGTCTGTTCAAATGATCCTCGTCAACAGCGTAATTATTTTACAAGCCCCTACACGCATTGTTACGATTTGTATTTGTATGCGATACGCACATATTATGTACACGGTGTGCCCCGTTAACGATCAGCCGATCAGTAACTGATCGTGTGCCCCATATATTTACACTTTTTTGTGCCAAGATATACATATTATTAGTGCGTACTTGTGTGCATACTTTATTATTGTAAAAATATTTAAATGTACGTCCTATGCTACGGTGAATGACATTGTAAAATGATTTCGTATAAAAAGCTGAGACACGGGCTCTTTCAAAAGTACGGGCCCCGGAGATCTAGTTCTCCCTGCCCCGTTTACTCGTCGGCCCTAGGCGTACCAATATATTTGTTAAAAGTGATATTTATTGTGAGTTTTAATTGATATTTTCATCGAAATTAACCTAATTCACAACAGAAACTATACTTGTAATATCGAATACTATTGATAGAGCTCTATCTGAAAATCCTTGGCCTCACCAGTGGTGGCCTTTAAATTGGGCTGACCTTAAAAATAATAATATAGTAATTTTTTATAAGTACAGAATTATTTAAAGTATATTTACTTATTAGTTTCGTCATAGTGTTGTAATATTTTAAAATATAGTAATTAGCTCATATTAATTATTATTATTATTTTTTTTTTGTTGATATTTCATTTTTGTAGCCCTATCTTATCAGTATTGGCTTGTTATTGGCCTTGCTTAAAAAAAATCTTGGCACCGCCACGGTTCTTTTATAAATCTATTCGTCAAATGCAATGTAACAAAGCTATTGTCGTTTCGGACAGTATCGCTTAAATGCCACGTTTGTATAAATTGCATGGTGTTTTCCGTTGCGTGAAATGTTTTTAAACCGCGACGGATCGCATCAGCGATTGACGCTCGTGAAATCACGGACACGTGATACGAATAGATACGTGTATATGCACTTTTTGTCGTAGACGAATGTTTTTTCCCCCGCGTAGTTTCCCAGTACAGCATTTGAAACGACCACAAATTCATTGATCCCTATGATATACAGTTTTTAACCCGCGGGCCTTCTATCAGAAAATCTACATTAACGCACGCTGCATACGGTTTTGCCCTACATATTATTATTGTATTACATTTATACGCAACCCCATATCGTAGAGTATAGATGATTTGTTCCCATGCAAAATTTTTAACGTTTTTATGGTTTTTTTTCTCCAGATCTATTGCTGTAAATCAAAATGTCTGCAGAGTTTCGGCACGTTGCTGATGACCATCTCGTTGACGGTCAGTCTGGCCAACATCGTACGTCTTCCCCGGATGGTGTTCCTCTACGGCGGCGGTAAGTGTTCTCCGATAGTTTTCAAACTCTAATAATTCGATAGTGATTCTAATATTATCGTCCAGCGAAATGCACAAATGTTCAGGTTTTCTTACACTTAAGTTAATATAGGTAGACTTTATACCATAGAATCATTAGGTAGTGGAATATACAAGAGTTTGGGGTAAAAACCTTGCGTTCACATTTATCAGACAGGAAAAAACGTACGAATTTTTTACCAGCATATTCAAAGTTAATTTTTTTTTTATACCGTATACCTGTGTTTGTACAATAGATATACGGTTTTTATAAATCGCACCTGATAATGATGTAGAATCATATGGAATAAAAGCAAATCTCCACGTGTACAACACTGTCTTTGTTCCCGTTGAATGTTGTTCAAGTAAAATAAGAGTTTCGATTGTACAACGCGCGTTGTCGAGACCATGAAAATAATGTTATTCCTACACACAAGCGTGGCTTGAAACCGTATTATTTGAGCGTGCGCGCACGTGGTGTGTGTGTACAAAGTGTGACAGAACTGTTGTGCGTAATTATTACCATAAAACGACGAATTACCATATTATTACGTGCGACACATGTGGCGTTCCCTTTATCCCATCACACGTCGAACGATGTACGCGCGTACACACACACACACACACACACACACACACACACACACACACACACA